TCGAAATAGCCACATACATCGACTCCTGGCATCAACTGTGTCCACGACAGCTTCTGCTTCTCAATGGCTGGATGTTTGATACTGGAGCTGTGCTAAATCACTGAAACAGTCTGAGAATGTTGCAGTTTCAGTTAAGGAGCTATATTTAGTACTACATAAAAATAGTTGTATAAATTATTGCCCAGTTTTGCATCACTTTACTAAGAATGCTCAGTTCAGCTCTTAGGATCCACCTACCTTATCCTCTCAATTCTGAGGTTATATGAATACAAACCTATGTCCAGCTTTTCTACATGGTACTAAGGACTTGAGCTCAGGCCCAATCCTTATACTTGCAGAGTAAGCACTCTTGCCCACTGAGCCATCTCCCCATCCCCTGACTCTAACCCCAGGAGCAGCAAGTAGATGTAAAAATGGGAAAGACCAGTTCACAAAAGCTGAGTTCTTGACCAAGTCACAGAGGTGGCCAGTAGCCTTCTGGCCCTCTCTCCCCTGTTCACAATTGGACTGAAGGTGTGCTACCTTGAACAACATGGAGGTATGGTTGAAGGATAAGTGTCATTATGTCTGTGACACTTCCCAAGTGCTGATATAGGACACAGTCACAGTTCCAAGTGAGTAAACACTTGTGATGTTCATAACTTCATCGTTAGGAACTATAGAAGGTGGGTCACCATCACTCTTGAACATGGGAAAGGTAGATCACTAGCCAAGCCTTCATTCCTATGAACTCTAATCACCTCCTCCCTGCCAGTTACCACAGAGTTGTCAAAGGTCATACCTGGCATTCCCTGTCACTTACTATAGATTGGTCAGAGGTCATACACCTGCAGTCAGAATATCAGATTTTACTTTTGTAAATGAGAGGCAACCTGCATCAAAACAATAGGACATTTAAAAAAACTTTCCTGTTTTATTTTTAGTTTTTTACAAATGATCAAGAACAATTACATTAATATTTGTTCCCAGGGACATATTTTCACTGTTTTTTTTTTTTAATCTAATCATTGTTCTTATTTTAGGGAGTGAATTTATGAGAATATACATTTATCCAAAACAAGATCTTGACTTCTTGAAGGGATGACAACCTTGCTTTGGGTTGCTGGGGTTGAAGCCAGTGCCTGCCATGAGTTAGACAAGCATTCTACTAGCAACCTTGGCCAAATAATGACTTTTTGTGTGTCTAACATGGGCTCTGTAATCCATCTTTCTTCCATATGACTGTGTGATTTTAAAAGGTCAGTTCATAAAGCAGTGAACACAGGTGTATCCAGCTTTTCTCCAAGTCTCTTTATGATTAAATGTGAATGAAAAGTTTAACCCTTTCAGACCTGCTTCCCCACTGCCCACTCCATGGCTCTTTTAGTCAAATAACCCAAATAATCTCCGTGTGGACCATAGAGCTCTGTCTTTGGGATAGGTGCTCAATCAACCAATTTCCTATGACATTTTAGAATAACTGTCCACTACTTCACTGTGGAATATGTCGGTTTTCTTAAGTCTCAGTGGGAAAGAGGATGAGGGCGCTCTTAATCTCAAAACTGTCCTTTCTCCATCAACTGTGACTATGACTTAAGAAGTTCTCAGTGAGTAGCTGGCAGCACCCACTTGGTCACTCCTTTCTTGTCCCAGCGACAATGTGAACATCAAGAACTTCAGTGATTCATAAGGAAATTTCATTCGGCCAAAAGAGAAACCAAAATGCTCCGTTTGCAAGGAATGGTTGGTAAATGGATCTCAGTGTGTTGTGTGAAACAATCCAGTCTCTCAAACACGTGTAGCACACGCTTTCATGTGCTGGGTCAAGGGTATGAAAGTAAAAGGGGACTGCTTAAGGATGTGGGACAAAGGGGAAAGCTTCAGGGGTGAGAGGTAAGAAATGGCGATTGTGGGTGAATGTGATCTGACTAGTCTATATCTGTGTATGAAAATGTTACAATGAAACCCATTTCTGGGTGCAATTAAAAGATGCTAATAAAACAGGACGTTTTAATGATTCAGATAACTCATTGTTTGAATTCACCTCACTTTAAAGTATCACTTTTAGGGGATCCATAGAGCAAACAACAAACCAGAAGATGGCGTTGAAGATTAGTAATCATGTCTTCAAATGAAATGGCCATGTGAAGTCTCAAAAGGTTTCTTGTAATGACTGTTGTTCAAAATTCTGAAAACAGAGGGTGTGGATGGGTGAGGAAAATGTTAAAACCGTCTAAGCCAAGGCAGAGGACACGTGTACGAAAGTGCAAAAAACCCTCTGGTTTGTGCACACTTTGAAGCAAAGTAATCCCCCAGTGGTAAAGTGGTGCTATCTGAACCAGCGATCTCTGCTTTGCTCAGAGATGTCTTGTCTCCAGCGACAGGACAGTTCCCAACAGATAGGTGTTCAAAGCATATTTTTGAATGAACGAAGCTGTGAAGGGAGAAGAGGGGAAAATGGGTGTGACCAAAATTTTCTTTGAACGAAACTCTGTTGTTTACTACCCAGACTCTGACAATGGAAAACTGACTGGGGTGAAATAAAGACATGGCATCCTGTTAATTTCTGAGAAAGCCTGTTGGTGTTAGGAAAAAGCATTACCTGTGAGCATCACTGTGTCTGTTTTGCTATGGCTGAACCCGGCTATTTCTTCCAAAGTCCAGAACTCATGGTAGAAGATCAAAAGAAAAGCCGAGAAACAAGTGAAATGAAAAGACTCTACACATGTTCCAAGTTGACCTGTGGTGGCCGCGATCTAAAATCATATAGAAACTCGTTATCTGAGAGCTTACCTGAAAATATCAAGTAAACAAACATGGTGCAGACCTCCAAGGTGGGCTGGAGAAAGCGAGTGGTGAAAATGCAGGGGAGTTAAATTCGGAGGCCAAAGACAACGTAGAAAATAAACTCCTCAGTCCACTTAGCTCTTAACTTCTATTTGGGACATTCATGCCTCACCGGGTAACTGCCTCTCACAAGGCTGAGGTTAAAATTATCATTTTAAGGTGAATTGACATCCGGAAGTGCTAACTACCAGAATACTTAGGGATCCCCCATCTCTTTTATGTTGCCATAATTGAAACTTTGGGGGCTGTGCGTCGTCTGAGTCATCTCAATTCATCAGTTTCATACTTCCAAAGTGTGTAAGCGTTCCAGACACAGTATTTGGACCACGGTTTGTGGACTTGCCTTTCTATTTTCTTTTTAGTGAGCGTGATTGTGATTCTCTAAACACTGCTTAGAGACCGGGCTCCCTGTTGTCCATGCCAAGGTCTATCTCTTCCGTCATGTACTGTAAGAACCAAGTTCCCTGGGCTCCAGACCCTCCATCACTTCCTGCCCTGGCCATGCAGGTAGAGATGAGTGGTTACTAGTTATCAGCTGGTCTCCATGCAGGTTCTAGTATCCAGCCAAGATTCCCTTTCAGAGCTTTGCCCTCCACTGGAACGGGCCAGTGACTGTCCCATTGGGCTGAGGATTTCCGAGTGCGTCAGAGTCCCAAGCCCCTTCCACTGGGGGTAATGGAGAAAGTCAGAGCTTGTCCGCAGGGGGACAGCCCCTGACCCTATGGGCTACAGTCCCGATGCTTCTGTCCCAGCCTGATACCACGCTTTGGCCAGGCGCAGGGCAGGGATGGAGGGCGGGACTCCGTCTAGTTGAGTCACGCCTTTGCAGGCGGAGTCGCCCCGCCTTACCCAGTGCCGAACCCCGCCCCCGGCTCTATAAAGTTCCTCTTTCTCACCTCGCTTTCCGAGTTTCACCACTTGAACTTGGGACCCTTTGCTGCCCTCAGCTCAGAGTGCGGGTGAGGTAAGGCCTGGAGTGGGGAAGAAGGAGGAGTGTGAGGCTGGTGACAGAGGACAGGGAGGGAACGAGAAGTCCAGCTTCCATCTCTAAGCCCAAGCCTCTAGAAAGAGGGGAGAGATAGGGGTCCCCGGCTCCTGCAATCTGCGCTGGCCCGGGACATATGTACTGCGTGTTCTGTGTGAGGTTACTTGAACAAGCGTTCCAGAACATCTCCACGGGCTGGGCGGGACGAGCTAACGGGACTGTCATGCCATCAAAGGGTCATGCACAGACAGCAGCTTGTCTGCAGGGGGACAGCCACTGACCTTGTCTACTTCCATCAGAAGCTCCTTTCCCAAGCCTGGTTCAGAAAGGACCCAAACTCATAGAGGGCTCCAGCGCTCGATTCCTAGGTCGGATGGCCAAGGAGAACTAAGTGTTCCAAACTTAGGGTACCCCCCTACCCTCTCCTTCACTTCCCGCGCAGGGGAGCTGGCATTTCGCAGCACCCCGTATTCCCAGCCTCACCTTCATCCCCACCTGGGGTCGCGCTAACCCTCTGCAGGCTGGAATCTCCTGATTCTAGGCTGCGCTGCTCGCTCCATACCCAGGCTTCCACTTGTTGCTTCCAGGGTCCACATAATCGTCTCTGGCTGGGTAGGTAGGCCTGATGTTATTCCAGGGACAAAGTGAGGGTGTCGAAGAAAAAAAAGCGGAGGGAGAGAAGAGCTAGGTGCTCCACACCTACAAGGCATGGGCACAAGACCTGGACAACTGCTAGTCCACGTGCCAGGTCTTCCGCTAGAGCAGCCTAAATCCCCCCCCCCCCTGCGCCGGGGTGAGGGATGGAGGAGTAGAAACAGTAAGGAAAAAGTGGGGTGAAAGCAGCTTAAAGCAGGCAGAGGGAAGCGAGTAAGAAAACGGGCGCCCAGGGTGGCAGATAGTTGTGTGTCTAGGAGCTTGCTGTGGAGTGCATTAAAATAGTGAACAGCAACAGCGAGTGCAAGCTGAAGTGAAAGGACCAACTTTGAGGATGGTGCGCGCCAAGGGATGCTCCCCACACACACCTTCGCCAGAGTACTTTCTCTTGGGGTACTCTGGTGACATTGAGTGGCACCACACGCGAGCACCTCAGGGACTCCGGGGCCTCGTGGTCACTACAAGAGTTTGGGACAGGGCGACCCGAGAGCGATGCTATGGTGGCTGCAGGGAAGTTTGTCTTCCCGCAGCGCGCCAGCGCAGAGAAGGTTGGCACGCGGCATGAACCTGGAGGCGGGCAGCCGGGGAGCAGAGTTCGGCATGAGCGCGGTGAGCTGCGGCAACGGGAAACTCCGCCAGTGGCTGATCGACCAGATCGACAGTGGCAAGTACCCCGGGCTGGTGTGGGAGAACGAGGAGAAGAGTGTCTTCCGCATCCCGTGGAAGCACGCGGGCAAGCAGGACTACAACCGCGAGGAGGATGCAGCCCTTTTCAAGGTACCAGCACTGGGGATCACAGGCTGGGGAGAGTCAGGGAAGAGAGGCCACTTAGACAATTCAGTTCGCAACTCGCTGTGCCTCCAGAGCAAGGGACCTGGAGGTCGGCTGCCCCCCACCCCCCACCCCGAGAAGCAGAGGCCAGGGCACCACGCATTGGGTCCTGCTTGTCAGAAGCTCAGGCAGAAGGCTTCAAGCTCCCTGGAGATTACACAAATGGAAAACCAGGTCCCCACACAAGCTTGTGTGGAGGAAAGTTCCAGGGGCATCCCTAGGGCCCAGCGGTGACCTGAGGCTGGGGCTCCTGCAGCATAGCCGAATGGGCTGTTTCCTGCCACTGTCACCAGGAACTACTAACTAGGACCACTCTTAGCTTCCCTGTCTTTATTTCGCTACTTTTCTGAGTTTCTCTGGGGTTTTGTTTCTTTGGCTGGACCCCGATGACTGGTTCTAGTTCTGGAGGTTTCTATCTCTGTTTCTGTTGCTTGGGTGACTTTGACTATTCCCAGTCTTCCTCTGGGATCCCCACCCCCCACCCCATGTGAGTCCCTTAGGACTGATGTCCCTAGAGAGCTCACTGAACTGTGAAGCCCCCAGCCTCCACCTGCCAGCAGGGTAGGGAAAGGGGACTTCCTGCGGGATTTTGTTCATAGTACCTCAGTGTGATGTCCTCTCTGGGGCCTGCCCCTCTGCAGCTCTGCCAGTCTTGTCTACACTTGATGCAGGCTCTGGGTGCATACAGCTCACACTAAGGGTCTCCCTATCTCAGGGCAGGGTCCTAGTAGGGAAGTTCTTTGCTTAGAGGACTCCAGTATCATCATGTTCCACGTTTTGGGCAACAGCAAATCTGAGACACCAATCTTCCTTTCAGAAACACAACCTGTAGATTCCTTGTGAAGAGCTGAACTTTGACTTTTCCTTCTCTTCATTCTTAGGCTTGGGCACTATTTAAAGGAAAGTTCCGAGAAGGTATCGACAAGCCTGATCCTCCTACTTGGAAGACAAGATTACGATGCGCTCTGAATAAGAGCAATGATTTTGAGGAACTGGTAGAGAGGAGCCAGCTGGATATTTCAGATCCGTATAAGGTGTACAGGATCGTTCCAGAAGGAGCCAAAAAAGGTAGGGGATTTCCCCGATGTAGGTCACAGGATAGAGACAGTCTGGCACTCATGGAGCCTTAATTCCTACTCAGGATCACTTTCTACTTCTGTTTTGTAGACTACTACCTCCTGTCCCATGGCCAAGTCCAGCCACCTCTTTGTCCATGCTCTTTGGGTTATGAGTGAAAACCTTGTGGTGTTAGTTGAGGATTACTTCTCAGACTTTAAGCCCCATGGGCATGTGGGTATGCAGATGCAGATGTTAAGTGTTCCAGTTACTCCGTTCAGTTGGAGTCTGGACCAAATTTCCAAACAAAACTACAAGATCCATTAAAGTTTTACTTACCTAATTTTCTATAACAATTAAGCACTTTCTTTTTTAGAGAGAAAGCCCATCAAACACCCCATAAATATTCACATTTATTGTAATAAAAATGTCAGAGCTTCAGTACTTATGAAAATTCAGATCTTTACACCCCTCTTTCAAAGATTCCAACTGGTCTGTCTAGATCAGAGCCCAGCAATGTGCATTTGTTCCAGTCATTCAGGATGCCTCAACTAGGCACCATCTTGCTGCTGGAAACCTTGGTTTCACAGTGCCCTACATGGTATTTCTTTCTCTGGCTGTCAGAAACAAATCAGAGCCCATTTAATCAGTTTAATGGCAAGGACAAATAACTGCTAGAGGGACTTGCTCGAAAAAGCACCTGATTGGTTAGCATGGCTATGCATTCTAAGAATAAAGCACTCAGGTATTTTTCTAAGATTTGCTATTCAGTTAAGTCAGTTCCTTCTTTTTACTCTGTGTTATTTGTTCTTCTTCTTCTTCCCCAAACACTCAGGAGCAAAGCAGCTCACTTTGGAAGACACACAGATGGCTATGGGTCACCCCTACCCTATGACAGCACCTTATGGCTCCCTGCCAGCCCAGGTATGTGGAGGACTTGTTGGGCTTGGGGAAGCCTAGGCTGAATCTTCTGTGCTGGCTCCACAGAGAGGGGAAAACACAGATCCAAACAGGAGGACTTACAATTTGCTGTGGCTAGTACAAGTGCGAACAAACCCTGGTCAGAGAAGGATGTTTTGGTTTCAGCATGGTGTCACTGTCCTTGGTGGCTTAGTTGGGGAGTTTTATGTGTCCTGTCTGTTGGGATGTACTTTTCTAATGATGGTCAGATCTTCTGGGAATCAGACCTTTTGTAGAAGCCAAGGATTTTGGAAGTGGTACTTTATCATGTGAAACCACAGGGCAGCTGACTTCTCTAGGCTTCCCCGGTGTGAATTACAGTACTGTTTTATTTAATTTGGTGGCTTAAAAAGGGCAGACTTTGCTGCAGTATTGTGGTGCCAGGCTCAGCCATATGATGAAACTTTAAAAAAGTCACGGATTTACACAATGTCCCCATTGTGCTTTGTACCCTCTTTGCTGTTTCCTACCTAGTGTGATAGACAGTTCATGCCACTTTTTGGACAAAATTACTTGGCTTCTGGACAAAAGAAAGGATCCCTTGAGGAGTTGTGATAATGAAAGCACCCCAACACCCACTGATGCTTTCCTCTTAGCCCTGCCTGTTCTCTGCCAGCAGGTCCATAACTACATGATGCCACCTCATGACAGAGGCTGGAGGGACTATGCCCCTGATCAGCCACATCCAGAAATCCCGTATCAGTGTCCTGTGACATTTGGCCCCCGCAGCCACCACTGGCAAGGCCCATCTTGTGAAAATGGTAAGGAGTGTGCCAGGGAGGGAGGCAGAACAACAACCTGGGCTCGGGGTGCACCCTGGGTGGGTGGCCCATCCAGGCAGTACCACAGGGCTTTCACCTTCCCCAGAGATGCAGAGACATTGCGTGAGGCTTGGGAGGGATCTTGCTTTGTCCTATAAGATGCCGAAGTCCTCAGAGCTATGATAGTTATCACTCTGTGTGGGAACTTAATTAAAAGACCACAGAAATCATTTCAAGTAGATGAAAAATGCCCACCCCGTTTTTAAGAAATAAAGAAAAGCATGGTTATCTATCTACAAGTGACCATTGATAAAGGATGTCAATTATAAACCTTGTTTACTTTTTGTTCCAATTATTTTGTTAATATGTTTTCACTCTCTGTAACATTATGCTTTCTTTGTCACATTAGGATGGAGGGATAGATTTTTGTCAGTCTTTCCTCTGAATGTCCCTTATTACTTACTGATAGAGAGCCATACTATCTCCCTAATCTATTCCTTTCAATTCTCCTGTAAAGGGACCATACTACAGATGTGGCCAGCTCACCTCTGCAGAGACTTCAGGAGATCATTGTTGATTCATGTCCCTTGGGCAGTGATGAGTCATTTGTAGCTGTTTTTGATACTGAGGAAGGAATAGAACAAAAGTAATCCACAAAACTTCTCCATAAAAGAGTGCCAGGCTCCAAAAGACCCACAACTCCCATCCCAATGCTAAATGAACTCCCATAGAAGAAACACTTACTAAATTATCCAGACTAGATTGCTCTTGCACCCTCTTGCCTTGAACTCCTGAGTAGCTGGGATAACAGGCCTGTACCACTAGGCTGGATATAAAACAAGCTTTTAGGACTTTCAAGTTCATCATTTAAATAGAAGTCTTGTCACTGGTCACCACACATGCGGTCCTTTTATATTATTCTGCAAATAATTTCCATGTCACTGTTTCACTGCCCCCCCTCCAGCACCCAGATTCCATCTATGCTTAGACTGTTCTTGGTTTAATGTGACATAACTTCTCTGCTGCCAAGGAACATGGTTCAATTTTCCCCAAAACTTGTAAACAGCAAGCAGAATAATTGAGAATTGGATAATTTATTCATTTTTAAACTAGCCTTATGTAAATTTGAACTCTGGCCCTGCTGAGAACTTGCCATGTGAGCTGGTGCAAACCCGACTCCTTCTGGGCCTCAGTGTCCCTGTTGATGAATTATGGATGGAGCCCCACGTTTCCATCCAGAGCCATGCTGTGACTCCTTCCTCCCCATCGTCATGTATTTTTCCCACTGAATTTGAACTTTGGCCTTTGCCTCCTAGTCACATACTCTGCTAGCAGTGGGTGTTTTAGAGCCTCTCAAGCTTGGGTTGCAAGGTGACAGGATGTGGCTCCTCCCAACTCAAGAGCCTCCCTGAACTTGGACTCTGCTTAGACATCATCTGATTTTCATTTGCAAATGCAGGTTGCCAGGTGACAGGAACCTTTTATGCTTGTGCCCCACCTGAGTCCCAGGCTCCTGGAATCCCCATAGAGCCAAGCATAAGGTCAGCTGAAGCCTTGGCACTCTCAGGTGAGTGTAGCGCTCCCTTTAAGGCTCTGAGGGAGGTGGCATCTCTCCTCTGGGTAGGCTGGGTGAGGATTTAGACTCTTACCTTGGAAGAGTCTGGATTAGGCATGCAGGGACCAGGCTGTGTGACTATCACAGTAAACAAAGAACACTTAGAAATCTCCACTAGCTAGCCAAACACTATTTAGATGAAGTCATTTAACCTGTACATTGTTACCTGACCAGCTTTCCAGGAATGTGCAGCCAGGCTCCTCCTCCAGCTAACATACTTCAGCAGAGAGGCTTCTTAGGCACAAACGCTTTTCATTTCCAGATGCTGTTTGTCCTTTCAGGGTTAGCCAAAAACAGGTGGCCCTGAACTGCTTCCAGGGAACACAGGCTCTGGACCCTGGTCTCTGAGAAGTTCCTATGTCTCCAAAGGACCATATTGCTCTGTATCCCTTGAAACTTTGTTAGAATTTCTGAGCATGCATGGATTTGATCTGATTTTAAAGTTGCATTACTAATTAGAGATACTGACCTGTTTTAAGGAAGCCCCCAACACACTTGAAATATGCATCTGATGTCCATTGAGTCTTTAGATGATTTTTGGATGTTTATAAATCCACATTAGAATTCTCACAATGCCTAAGGCCACCTTAAAAGTCTGTGATTGAAAACATAGACTACATTTTGAACGTTTTAGACACTTCCCTTATTAACAAGGGAGGAAGAAGTCTGCCACCTGGTTCCTTCCAATTCTGATGCTCATGGAGACTGTGTGAGCCACTTAAGAGCAGAAGAGGGACACTTCTGAGCATCATCAGGGCTTGCATTGACACTAGAAACCTTTAGACCCCCTTTTGGAACATATAAGACTCGTATAGGTACCCCAAGAGTAGGAAATAAATAGCTATTTATAGCTCTGCAATCTTGTGACTCTGGTGACATTAAATGAAATGAAACCTGCCCTACCAGTCACCTCAGATGGCCAACGCCCCCTCTCTTTGGGTGCATCGCCTAACTTACTGTTTATAGCAGCAGGAATGGAAGACACCATGATGTGGGCTGTCTCAGAACCATTGAAGAACACGAGGGTTTTGTGGGTTTCTCTTTTTCTGGTTTGCATAATTAATGATCAACCCAGAGTGCACTCTTCAGAAAGCTACTCTTTCCAGGCATTGTTTGGGCTCCAACCACCACCATGGGTATCTGTCCCTGCTGGGGAGCCCTTTGCACACACAGCTTGCCCTTTAAGCTTGTGGGTGGTGTTTTAACGCGGTTTCTGAATAAAATCACCTGTCAATAAACTCCTGTCTTAAAGCTGTAGAAAATATAGTTGTTGGGTTCTTTTCAAAGTTGAACACAAAGTTTAGAGGGATTTCAGGAGATTTAACATTAACTATTGGTTCATAGAGCATTTTCTCATCAATTCCTTTCTCCCACCACAAGAAAACTGATTTAAGATAAGAAAATAAAAGTATCATTCTTCATAGCCCAGAAGTTGTTATTTTCGTGTTTACCTCCAACATATCTGTGTGGGTTTTCTTTTTGTTTTTGTTGTTGTTTTGTTTTTACTTAAATGACATCATGGTGACACTTTAGGGAAGTTCCAGAGCTGTCTACACATTTACTTTTCTTCTGAGATATCTCTGTTGTTTTTACTAGTAGAAATTACTCTTAGAGTTCAATTCCAAAATTAAAATTGATTTGGCTGGAAGATGAACTCCCATTCAGTGGTGTTACTTCATATTTTAGACAAAATGCTATCCCCAAAAAAGCTTCATAACAGAGGTGCTGTCTAGTAAAATTGGGCTGAAAATCCAAGCAATACACCCTTCCCCAAGATGGGTAAATAAGTGGCCACATCAACACTTGAAAATGACCGTGTTAAAGAAAGAAGTTTCTTTCCATGGGCTTCTCTTCGATTTGAATGTGCTTGCAATCTAGGAATCTGTAAGGGGACAAGGACATCTAACATCTCCCAGGCTTCCTTAGCCCTAAGATTTCCTACTTGTTCACAGAGTATCCTGATATACTAATGTTCCACCTGCTATCCTTCATATCAGAATAGTCATTGAGTCTTTGGGCCCCTGGGCATTGTGGTATCTGTCCCAGAGCCATCAGTACTGATTCTAGAGTTCTGTTCACAGACTGCCGGTTACATATCTGCCTGTACTACCGGGAAATCCTAGTGAAGGAGCTGACCACATCCAGCCCTGAAGGCTGCCGGATATCCCATGGACATACCTATGATGTCAGCAACCTAGACCAGGTCCTGTTCCCTTACCCAGAGGACAATGGGCAGAGGAAGAACATCGAAAAGTTGTTGAGCCACCTGGAGAGGGGACTGGTCCTCTGGATGGCCCCAGATGGGCTCTATGCCAAAAGACTCTGCCAGAGCAGGATCTACTGGAATGGGCCCCTGGCATTGTGCAATGATCGGCCCAACAAACTAGAAAGAGACCAGACTTGCAAGCTCTTTGACACACAGCAGTTCCTATCAGGTAATATACCTCACAATTTGCTAGAATGGAGGTGGCAATGGGTGCTGGCCAGGAAGGTGCTAAATGGTAGGGTCTGCTTACCTTGGGCAGGAGTCTTCCTCCTGAGATCAGTGAGCTCACAGGAATATTGTTTTCTGCCTGGTTCATGTCTTACCTTTGCCTGCTGTATGCTTCCCTTATTAGCAGAGGGCCAGGAAGAGGGCTCATATCAGCTGGCCGAGAGACTATGGTGCATGTTGATATCTTAAGTTATCGTAATTATTATCGGTCCTTTTATTTTTGAGGCAGAACCTATGTAGCTCAGGTTGGCCTAGAACTGGAGACTCCTTGGGATTGTATATGTGCACCATCACACCTGGCTAATGAATTAAAATGTGGGCTTTCAGCAGCACATGCCAGGGTATTGGCTCTCTGCTCTCAGAAAGTTTATCTGCGGACACAACAGCTTCCTGGGGCTTCCTAGAAAAATTAAGAGGGTTAGAAGCACATTGTTAACATTCTTGGTTATGATATGTGTCACCCTTATAAAAAGTGCCACACTGAAGGCGGGACCAAGGCTGAGAGTGGAAGGGACAGCTTCGGCGAGAGGGAAATGCTGAGGAAGCTTGGCCTTATCTCTGGCATATGAAGGCTTCAGTCATGTTTTCCAGAACCTATACATCTGACTGTTTGAATTCTGATTTCGTTTAGTTAAGTTAGTCCTGGGCTGGCTTATATGACAGCGTTAGCTATGGCACTGTGGAGTACCATCCGGTGGGCAGAGGATGTCTTTGGGAGAGGTGGCTGCTCTTTCGGCTGCTTGCTTTCTTCCTGTTGCCCCTTTCAAACAGCCCACGCCTCTGGCTTTTCCCGTGCTTTCCATTTGAACCTGAACTTGTTTTGCTCCTCTCATCTGTGCATACCATGGTGGTTTAGAATGTATGTACACTGTGTTATGGATAAGTTGTACCAATTACCTCCCTGCATGCCTTTCCTTTTTTTTTTTTTTTTTTTTTTTTTTTTTTTTAAGAATACTACTTGAAGTCTATTCTCAGCTATTTTCAAGTGCATGGTCCATTACTATAGTCAAGAGGATATGCCATTGTTGAGTTTGTGTTCAGCAAACTCCTCTTAGTGAGAGTTTCTATTCTTTGACCTACAGCTTCCTGGCTGCTCCCCACTTCAGGTGACCACCATTCACTGCTACTTTTACGAGTTCAACTATACTAGAGTTCACATGGGAGCATCATGCATGGTTAATTTCATTTAGCATGATGTTCTCCAGGCTCATCTGTTTTGTTACAAAACAAAGGACCTCTTTCTTTTTTAAAGGCTTAGGAATATTCTATTGTTATCTATACCACCTGATATTCACTTTATGTGTGTACATAAAGGGAAACTTGGGATGACTATCTGAGCTGCTCCAACTGGCGCTGTTGTCTATGGAAGTGCAGCTGTCTCTCCAACACTGATTTACTCTGCCTTGGATGTGTACACAGAAGGAAGACAACTGAATCCTCAATGTGTGTCTTCCTTCCATTCATTTACAATGAGGACATAAAGCACCGGTGTTCTTGGCATTAGTGGCATTTCCTCAGCCTTTTGGGCTCCAGTGGCCAGTATTTGCTTAGGCTCATCCAAATGCTTTCATTTCCCAAAGTGAAACATGTTCCTTGACAAATATCCTTCCCTAAGAGTTGGGACACAGGAAAAGGAATCATCTTAGGCTCCAAGGCAGCCACATGGTGAAGACCTTTGGAGCTGGCCATGAGCCAAGCCTTCGCCAGACTGTTTTGCCTCCCTTGGACTGAGTTCTAGTGTTCATAGTCCAAGGCAAAGAAAAGCAACTTCTTGGGATGATTGATTGCACATCCTATGTTTGTCCCGGGGTCTGGAAGTCCTCATGTGCTCCCTCTAGAAGGCTACCACTAATTCCCTGCTTGACTAAGGTAGCCCAGAACAATGACAATTACCAGAGATGGGACTGGGAGGTACACAAGTCTTGTTTTTTTCCAGTGGGGATCCAGGCAGGAGGCAGGCATCATAGTAGAACGGACACCATGGGCTGAACATTCACTTTCTAGAGCTTATTAGCTATCCATAAGCAAGAGCTGTTTGCTTTTGTTTCCCATGTGTAATGGTGCCTGTTCTTTTTGCCATCCACAGCCTCCACAGTCCCCACACCTCACTGAGGCTCGGGAAAGGGAAGATAACCCTGCAGCTGAGGGGCGGAGCAGCCTCTGCACCTAGGTATTCCCACCCAATGTTCTCCAGTTAGTAGGCTGAGGTGGGCTTTCTCAGCACTGTACTCACTTGCTACTCTGACTAGCACTACCTGTGGGGTGGGTGTCTTCCCAGCCACAGGACCATGCACTTTACACAATTGTGACTAAACCATTTGATTTGAATTCTGGAAGAAGAAAGAGAAAGAAAAGCAGGAAGTCGGGTCTGTGAGCTTCTAGAAGCTCTTCAGTTGCAGAGAGCAATGGGAGTCTTTGATATCTACCCATTCAGGATCTGCACCCTACTAGGGACAGTCCCCATAGGCTATAGGGTTGAACATTCACATCAGATAAGGGCAGAGTCTTCAGGGCTGCTCCGCAGGGGCAGAGCCTTTCTGTCGGTATCATGCAGATAAGACCTGGGAACTCAGGGCCAGGAGGAAGAGTAAGGGTCAGTGATTGGATGTGACTTTCTTTTTGTGCTTTGTAGCAGTGCTGGGGGTGGCGCCCAGGGCCTTGCACATGGAAGGCAAGTGCTGTGTCAGTGGCAGTGCCCCCAGCCATATGGACAGCTTTCTTTCCAACGATGACCTTGTCTATTTCACGTCTCTCTCAGGTAGGAACAGCCTCAGCAGGCACGTCCTTGCCAGAGATTGAAGTCTACTCAGGTCATAGTTTGGAGTTTTTGATCTCGTACCCAGTGGGACACAGCTGCCAACAGCTGGTGTGGGACACAGGTGCCCTTGGTGCCCAAACACCACGTGACCCCCCCATGGTTAGGCAGTGGTGTTTAAAAATAACCGGAGGCCACCAGAGCATTTTGACATTTTACATGAAAACATCACTTTTGCCTGTGCTGTTTGTTTGCATCAGCGAAGCTACTTTTCTTTGTCTTCTCTGTCCTCCCTCATTTCCTTCTCCGACCTTGTACATTTCTGTGAGTCCAGAGCTGCAGAAGCAAGTTCTTACACTTCAGTCATGTTCCCTCAATAATGAAGTAAAACAACCATGTGAAATCACTGTGAACTAGAACATGTGGTTTCGTGTCTGGGGTCTGCCTTAAGGGCTGGTCTTAGGGAAACAGAGCTTGGGCTCTCCCAAAGCAGAACCACATATGGCTCTTGTTTTCCATTCAGCCCACTTTACCAGGTGTCTGAGCAGTTTTTTTTTTTTTTTTTTTTTTTTTTTTTTTCTTGTGGGTTCTCAGAGCTGCAAGTGTTTGCTCACCATGGCCGGCCAACACCCAGATTCCAGGTGACTCTGTGCTTCGGTGAGGAGTTTCCAGACCCTCAGAGGCAGAGGAAGCTCATCACAGCTCATGTGAGTATCCAGTTACATCACTGTTGAGTCGCACGTTGTGGAGCAGGCCCTTTTAGAGAAGTAGCAAATGAACAGTAAATGTCAACTCACCTGGGAAAATAAATGCAGTTCTTAAAATAGCTTAGGAGGAAGCAGGCCCCAGTGAGCAACACAGCTCGAGGGACCCACAAACTTCCAGCCATACTTTGTCAGCACTGAAACAACAGGGTGGATGCCTTGAACCCAAGGCTCTGACTATCTGGAATTCTTCATCTTCCCTTTTAAAAGAATTTTAAGTAATTGGTACTAAGAGCTGTGTTCTGACACCTCTGTTTCTTGTGAGATGTTTGAGATGTTGTCTACTCTAGAAAAGCTTCCTTGGGGGTATGAACTTTTCCTCACTGGGAAGCTGTGTGCTGTGTGCTATATCCAGAGAGTTCCCAGGACCTCTTTTTATTTCTGAACTTTGGGAAGTCATTTATTAAGACAAGGGGTCCTGGAAGGAGGTCTGGTTTTCCCAGGAGTCCAGGTAGGACAGTTTGTCCTCACAGTTAGTGTAGTTTAAGATGGGTGCAACTGTGACCTGTAAATATCTTGTGCAAAGAAAAGATATTTAGATAATGTTTAGCACTAATTTAATAATTAAAAATTCTGAATAACTGATGTTTTTAATTAGAAAATTTTACTTCATTACACATCAAGAAAAGTATCCAGTACCAAGTAAATGTTACATCCCCAAAGATCCAGTTTCCAAATGCAAATGAGATTTTAGTTCTGATAGTATTTCTATCAGATTGAAGCCTGGGCATATAAGTCAGTGGTAAGCAGTTGTCTGGTACTAGTAAAGCCTTGGGTTCTAGACCCAGTTTGGGATGGGGTGGGACACTGATGTTGAGTGTTCAGCCTCACTGCTTGATTGCAAAACAAACTCCAAGAATCAATAAAACTATAGTACTGGACTTCAGTGTTTTCTCAGTTCTGTCTGGTGGTTGGTAACAAATGAGATTGTAAATGAGTGGATGAGTCTAGCATTGATAGCATTTTAAAAGTAGTGAGTGAGTTCCTTCATCAATCTGATTTTAAGGATTTTGGGTGCAGTGGGGCTCCACAAGGAAAAGGCAAGGATGGGCCCACAGGCGAGGGGCCTCAAACTGCTGCCGTAGATGGAAAACATAGGCAGGCGCACACTCATGGACTCAACTCATGTGGGTGCTTACAGAGGTATCATGTCAATGACTGCATAAAGTATTAATGTGGATAAGATTGGTTGGTACAGAGCATTGAGCCTGACCTGGTGGAGGCCGGCTTTGACTGGGGATGTGGTCTGTGCTCACCAACAAGCTAGATCCACCAGAGCCAGTGAACACCGTTTGCCATAACGATGTGTTGTGTTCTGTTTGTCATCTACTCATGCTTCAGTGTTGTCCATATGGCATTAGACGTTTGACCATTCCAGGTGATCCCTCTCACTGTCAAACTCATGAACCTAACTTGTCCTGAGTTTCACTTAGCATTTTAATTTGGTAATTTAACCTGATAATGTCCAGCCATTTCGTTAAATAAATTCCAAGAGGCAACTGATTTGAAAATTCCATATTTAGCTTCAGTTATAAAATCAAGAGTTCTATTTCCAGGATATTATACTCCAGGTATTATAAGGGCAAACAAAACTGGTTTTTCAAATGGCTCTGACTGTGACAATATTTCGTTATGTTATACAGTTGTGGTTTTGCTTAGAGTCTAAGGGTCATTCTTGATGCATCAATTGTATGGTGCAAAAAGGAATGTTTTTAAATGTCTACTAATGTTTTTTAATGTCTACTAATGTCTTTTTTTAATGTCTTATTAAAGGTGGAACCTCTGCTAGCCAAACAACTGTATTATTTTGCTGAACAAAACAGTGGACATTTCCTGAGGGGCTACGATATATCTGAACACATCAGCACTCCAGATTACCACCGATCCCTGCGCCATTCTTCCATTCAAGAGTGAGCCAGACACTGGGAGGATTTGGTTTCACTGTAAATACTCTGGCATGGCAGCTAATTGACACCCCCTTTCTTTGGAAGAGCCATGAAGTGGGTTCACAGTTGAAGACGACACCAGGGATTTGTGAAAAATGAAAACCAGCTCTGTTTGCCCAATAGAGGAGTTTGTCTCAGAAGAATGACTGTCATCCAGGTCTTGACAAATGCTGGTATTTTGGTGACTGTTCCCTGGCTTATAACTGTGAGATTTGATCAGTGATGTGTTTACATGTACTTAAATTCGGGCTTGGGCCTGGTATAGATGGGGCTTTTGCTTGAAGACTGAAAAACTGTTTCAGTATGATTGCCCAACTAGAGAAGGCAGAATTCAGCAGTATTATTGGTCAATTTCTCAGGGAAGTAAAGTCTAAACTGGAGACTCCTCTGCCTACCCACGGAGAAATGCATTCCTGGATGGAGGAGTGCAGTTCTCCTGGATCATGCCCACTGAGTGAAGGGTCCTGAATCTCAGCCCCAGGCTAGGCTACAATGTCACAGCCATGCAGACCATGGCTGTGGTCCAAGCGGACCCCGTCTGCATCCTATTTGCTCCCTCTCTACGGCCTTCCCTTACAGCCAGCTTGTGGACTCCGTAGTCACATACTTGAGGCAAAAGATGTCAGGGATACATAAGACGAGACATTTTTGTATGTCTTTCTATCTAACAATGACTAGAAAACATTTCACTGTTTTGTCCTCTTGTCCTCTCCCTTTTGGTTTTTGGGTTTTGCCTTTCATTCTTTAGAATTGTTGCTGGCTGTAGTTTTTTTTTTTTTTTTTCAGAAATAAAGGAAGGAAAGAAGAGAGAGAGAGAGAAAGAAATCAAGAGACTGAATACTAGAGATAGTTTTTAAAAGATCGGTGCCATTTCCCCTCTATTTGTTTTGTTGACCACCAGCAGTCTCCATGGCAACACTGGAGGGGAGGAGCTTTTGAGGAGGTTGGGTACTGTCAGGACACCGGTGGTTCAGCTGACTATACAGCTGCAGACTCAGTGGGCTGTTTCTGCTTATTTTGTATATTAGATGCTTCCTTGTGCCAATAATAGTTTGACAGAGCCTCAAAATGACTGGGCTTTTCCAAAAATACATTCCTTCAAAGAATTCCAAAGAGCCCGTTTGTCTTCATAAATCTGGCCCTTTACTTTCGTGTTACTGTTTTGTTTAGGTGGCTTTGTCATGCTCCAGGACTTTTCTTCTACTACAGTGTAATTTCTGTTTCTGCCAGGCTCAGGAAGAGTCAACTGTCAACACATGACACTTGGTTTTTCGTTTGTTTGTTTTTTTAAACACAGCACGCTTAATATTTCATTCAACATTGGGGTGTCCTTTTATTTTTCAAAAGTAGCCTTTGATAAGTAATACACATGACAGGAAAGGGAAAAATGAGAAGCATTTTATATTTAAACCTTCCTTCCTAGAATTAGTTCTGAGAGTTCAGTCTGTTCTTTAAACCCATTTTAGTTTTCTACACATGTACATGAAGTTGCCTTTTTTTTTTTTTTTTTTTTTTTTAAGGAGAGAGAGAGATGTGGTGACACACTTTTCTGTACCTAACTATGCAGACTTACCTCATCTTTTGAGTGGCATGTGGAATTCCACTGCAGTGTGCCTGGCTGTGGCTTAGACATCTCATTAGCTATTCATCATAGATGCATCCCAGCAGCCTACTGAGTCTTGTGAACTGAAGTCATTTATACATCTTATAGATGTAAAACATTCTGGGGTATATTATCCCAAGGGAAGATGAAGGAAAAATTGGGAAATGCCTTTCCCCCCTGAGGCTCCAAACTGTAGCTATGGTCCTGGAGAATATGTAACCACACCTACATCTGGCACTTCACCAAAGTTCTCTCCGGGTCCTAAATGACTGTGATTCTTCTTACCCCAAGCAGATGCTTCATCCCAGCTGTCATGTGAATCCTTTTTTCCTTTCTTTCTTCCTTCCTTCCTTCCTTCCTTTCTTTCTTTCTTTCTTCTTCTTTTTTTTTTTTTTTTCTTTCATGTTATGCTACTTTCACAGTGAAGCTGAATTTTCTGAAACATTCTGGATGGTTCAGACCACCAACTCCTATCTCACTTTACAGCCATGCATGCCTATGGCTTCAGTCTTGATGGATCTGTAGGAAAGTGAAGCACAGAATGGTCAGGCAAACACTCCCGACACAGAAGCAAATGGCCTCCTCACCCCTTGTTGAAACAAAGTGGAATGTGCATCCTGGAATTTAGTTTGCCCTCACTGGAAGGTGCCATTGAAGAGGCAGGTCTTGGGAACAGTGCATTGCAGGGAGAAAGTGCGAAAGTCTCCTGGGTACATGCTTGTCTCTTGTCCATGAGCAAGTCATTAATGTCCAGTTTAAAACCAAAAGCTTCTGTGGTGCTGGACAAAGAAAGTGGCACCCTGTGAGAGCCAGCTAGACTCTGGGATTGGAGCAAAGAGCCCCCCCCATTGTGAAAATGCCAGGACGGTAAAGGCCTGGTGTACTGCCTGGGTGGCTATATGCCAGGAACAAGGAATGCACAGGCGGATTAAGGCATGTGTGAGGTGTCCTTACTCTGTAGAGGGCATGAGTGTGAGATCCACCAGCAAAGGATTCTGGGAGTTTGGGCATCACTACTGCTTTAAGCTTAGGAGGCAGAGGCAGGCATATCTCTGTGAGTTCAAGGCCAGCCTGGTCTACAAGAGCCAGTTCCAGGACAGGCTCCACATCAATACAGAGAAACCCTACTTGGAAAACAAAACGAAAACAAACAAACCAAAACCAAACCAAACAAAACAAAACAAAAAACTGCTGCTTTAAGAACTTATTGTTCCATGGGTTATATTTTGACAAGATTTCAGAGGCTTAAATATCCTTTCATTCAAGTCCAATCACTCTTGTTCTTCCTACTGGTGAATATTTGTTGTTGTTGTTGCTGTTATTAGTGAAAATTGTGAATTGTTAAGGTCTCCCTAAATCATGTGGCTGCTGTATCCATTTTGATGTTTCCATAGGCTGCCCAACCACACACATCTTTTTGCAAATTGCCTCTTCACTAGTTGAGGCCTGCCTCATAAATGCTAACTTATGCAGTCTGTGCTGAGTGCTGCTCACTGCCACGTGAATGCAGGGAAGGCTGATTTTTCTGGATCTATTTTCACTGCTTTGAGAAACATATCTCCAGAGACTACTAAAGCGGAGGAGAAGAGAAAGGCCAGCAGGCCAGCTCTATTACACACTGCTTTATGCTTCGTATTCTTCAAGGGGGACCAGCCTCACAGAAAAGGTCATCCATGTCCTCCCTGCTCCCTGCTCTGTACACCCACTTCACAGTGAGAGAGCTGGGGGCCAGGACCCAGAGACCTCTGGCTAGAGCCCATACTTTGCCATGTCTGCATGTCTGAGCCTGGAAGGCAAGGACGCCCACCATCCTGCACGTACTGTTTGCATGTGCCATGGATTTTGCTGTAAACTCGCTTCACCAAGCAAACTGTGTTTTGTTTTGTTTTTTTAAATATTTGGTAAATAAAGGATTTCTAGGAAGACTGACTGCAGAACATATTTAATGCCATCCTGACAGCCCTTGACATACTTCCTCCATCTGCTGGGTTCTTGGTGAGGCTGTCAGCACCCTACTTCCTGGCTGCCTGTGTGTCCTTGAAATAGGAGCTCTAAAGTGTTCAGTTGAGAAGGGGTGGGGGGGGGAGGGAGTAAAGGAGAGAGGAAGAGAGGGGGAAGGGAGGCAAGGAGGAAGAGGAAGGGGGAAGGGAGCAAGGGCAGAGAGGGAGGAAAGACAGCAAGGTAGCTCCACAACTGTGCCCTATGGGCCTGAGTCTTCAGCTGTGTCTGAGAAGAGTACCCATTCACCCTGTGTTCCCTCTGTTCCGACTCCTCCTCCATGGAGCTGTGTTCTGAAAGGTCTGGTGGATCCAGGGAATATTTTTTCCATTTTAAGAAAAAAAATTAATTTATAGTGTGTGCGTGTGTGTGTGTGTGTGTGTGTGTGTGTGTGTGTGTGTGTGTGTGTGTGTTTGCTGTGTGTAGGTATATGCACATATAGGTGCCCATGGGGCCAGGAAGGTGGTCTGATCCCCTGTGGCTGTTGTTACAGGGGGGTGTGGAATAGAATTCCAGTCCTCTAGAAGAGCCATCTCTCCAGCCAGGAGAAGTAGTTTTTAATTGTTTAATGTTCTGTTTTATACTTCAAGTCCCTCTGAGTTTGTCATCACAGGGGTGACACATAGCAAGCCAGCATTCTGATAGGACAGATTTTGGGAAATAGGGTATAGGTAGATTCCTGGTGTTCCCTGGAACATCTTGGCTGAAGTTCTCTCTAAGAAGCCAAGGCAGAGGCCTGCTTTCCCAGCAGAATCTCTTTTCCTGACATGGCTGTGGACATCCATGTCGTCTAGTCTCACAGGAAAGACTGTCAAGCCACAACCATAGACTGGGCTGTGAAAAGCTCAGGGCTTCACAGAGCTCTGGAGAAAGGTTTTAGTGTGGCTGTAGATACCCAGAATATCGGGATAATTTTGATTTTACTAAACTGTAATCAGTTACCCCACTCCTTCTACTCTGGGGGCTCCCTGTGTCCCATAAGCATAGATGGACTCAGTCAGCATATGTAACCAGGGTTTCACCAAATAATTCTACTATTTGAACCTACTCTTGTCCAAAGGGATTTTTCTGGTTTAAGTTCTTAGGTAGTTTTGTATTCCTCCTGGGCCCCAGGTCTTAGACTTTTCTTTCCAGTACAAGTTTGGCTATTGTAACCAGTTGGTAGTGCCAGAACAAACACAGTTGTGCCTTGCACATGAGCAATACCCATCTGTCTCAGAAAAACATGGCATCAACACATGCCATCTTTCTGGAAAGGAGTTGCAGGGTTGGCTGTAATATCTCATGTTTTCTAGCAGAGGCATGTCTTTTCAATTTATATCTAATTATGAACTACAGGGCATCTGAGGCCAACCAAGATATGACTTCCACAGCTCAAGACAGTGGCTGGATGGCTATCTTGAGTATGTCTTCACAGGTACCCTGTTCCCCTCCCCTGGGAGACTTCTCTGGCCACCTGCTCACCCAGCCAGCCCTCTCCCATGAGGTTAGAGTGTCTTTTCTGGAAGCACTTCATCCTTCATGCATTCTCTGTTTGGTTCTGAAAAGGGTGGCAGATCTGTGCCACTGAGAAACAATTTCATACTCTATCTCTTGCTCTGCCTTCTCTAGTTTGGGACCAGGGATCAAAATGGCCAGAACTTTGAAAAAGACAAATCTTGTCAGCCCTGTTTGCCTTCTTGGTTAGCAGCCAAAATGTTTAATCTAGAGAGATAAGATAGATGATGAAACCAGATGGGGTATAGATGCCAATAGTCCCTCAAAAAGAGATTTTTCTTCTGCCTCCTGGAAGTGATCTGAGAGAGGTATGTTGGAAGGGATGGTGAGGACCACAGGTGATAAAGGACCACATAGACAGGATGGGAGGATGACTCCATGGTTGACTATGTGAACCAATAACTTTGAATGATGAGCATGCCCAGATTTCATGGTCTCACTTTTATAAAGGATCAATGCCAACATAGAGGACTTCAACATGGAGATGAATGAAGTGAGGCAATCAACTCAGGATCTAGATTTCAAGTATGCAAAGAGAAAATATTAAAAGCAATAAGGGATGAGGATGTCTGAAAAAGCCATGTGAAAATCTATTTTATAAGCTTCATATATACACAGAGAATAATGCTTATCCTTGAAGCCATATGCTGCCAACACCAAGTATGAGATACTTCCTCTTGAGTTATTGGTCAGAGGTGTCCTAGAGACACCCAAAACAATGCAGACCAATGTCATTGCTGTTGGTTGCCCACCAGAACTTCATGGTAAAACCCCATTGCTGAAGACATCACACACATTGGTCATAGGAAGAGAAAAATCAACTTGGTATTGACCAGGAAACTACCTAGTACTCCAGGTTGTTACATAGGGAATGGGGGAATACCATAAGTATTCTTATCTGGCTGTGAACCCTGTGAAATGTAATGATTGGTATGGAACAATAGTGGCATGAATGTTGTATAGGTAACTGGATTTAAGGTCTATTCCGCAGGAGGAAACTCATTGCCTGGTTACTGTAAATCTGTTCAAGAACCCATGGTAGATTATCTCATAGGCCTCAAGATATTATTCTATTAAGTGGGCATAGTTTCAAACTGCTCCTTAAATTCATATCTTTATACTCATAGATCAGTGTGACTTTCAAACCTCATCTGAGAAGTTTCTTTACAGAGTAGATGGTAGCTAATGTAGAAACTCACACATAACTGAAGTGCAGGAAATATATGTCAGTGGAGTGAGTTCTCAAGCACAAGTGGGACATCCAAATCACACCCCTCCAAGGACAAGTTAAAGAGAAGGGGGCAAAAAGATGGTAAGCTCCAGATATTGAGAAGGACCAGAGTAAAATAGTATCTCCTAGACACAGAAGAACTGTGGCACAAGGCACTCATGAACAAGGTCAGTCAACATTATGGCACAGAGGGAGAATATGTCCATGAGCCCCCACTCCTAACCAGGGAGCTATAGACAGTTGATGGCTTGTTCATAAGTCCCCCATTCATAACTGAGGGGCTACAGATGGGGGTGGTCAGTTTTCCTTTAAAAATGTGGCTCTGGTAAGTCAACCATGCTCCAATGTATGGTCTCACACTTAGGAGTATATGACAGAGCTAATCGGATTTGATGTGCTATTTTAAAAAGAAGACATAAAATCGGGTTCATAGAAAGGTAGGACTGGCTCTTGAAGATGAAAGACTGGGGGTTGATGTGTTCAAAATACATTGTATGAAACTTTCAAAAATAAATTTAAAACATTAAAAGAAACTACAAGGGAAAAGTGTTTGTTAACACGTAAATGAAAATTCATCAGAGTATCATCAGCTCAACAACACCAAGCCCAGCCTCTCATCTTTTCAAAGTTCTCTGTTGTTGTGGAGTAGAATATTTGTTTAACTATGTAAAGGTGTATTGCTTTTGTTTATGCTGCATTTGTTTAACCATGTAAAGATGTGCTGCTGTTTCACCTTGCCTGCCTAAGGCACCTGATTGTTCTAATAAGAAGCTGAATGGCAGCAGAGCAATAGGTAACTGGTGAGCAGAGAGATTAAGTACCAGTAGGAATCTAGCATCAAATAAGAACAAGAGAGAAAAAAGGGAGATAATGCCAGGGACCAGCCAGCTAGGCAGCTGCCAACCAGGCAGACAGGGAGTAAAAGCAGGAAAGTAAGACATACAGAATAAAAGAAAGCTAAAAAAAAGCCCCAAGACAAAATGTAGATGAAGAGGAAGAGGTTAAAATAAGTTAGAAGAGCTCACAAGACAAGTCTAAACCAAGGCCAAACATTCATTGTGTCATGATTTGGGGGCTGGCGGCCCAAAAAAGCCTGCTACACTCTGTGATGGTTAACTTTAACGGACAACTTAATGTAATCTAGGATCACCTGGGAAGAGAGTCTGAATGAGGGATTGTCAGCATTAGCTCAGCCTTTGAGCAAGCCTATAGAGAATATCTTATTAAGATAATTGATGTGGGAAGACCCAGCCTACTGTGAGTGGCACCACTCCCTAGGCAGGGGGTCTGAACTGTTTTAAGCATGTAGAAATGATCTAAGCACAGTAAGCTAGTATGTGCACATTCACTTCTCTCTCCCTTGTCTATAGGTTTGACTTGACTTGCTGTGTGATGTTTTTGCCTTGATGGACTGTAACCTAGAATTGTAAGTTGAAATACAACCCCATTTCCCCATAAGTATGGTTTGGGGGCAGGAAGTTTGTTTTGTTTTGCTTTTTCAAGACAGAGTTTCTCTGTAGCTTTGAAGGCTGTCCTAGAGCACACTCAGTAGACCAGGCTGGCCTCAAACTCAAAGAGATTCACTTGCCTCTGCCTCCCTAGTGCTGAGATTAAAGGTGATGTGCCAACAACACCTGACAAGAGAGATTTTTTTTTCTTAATCACACCAGGAGTTTCCAAACTAAAATATATCAGATACCAATGAACTTAACAGGTGTTAACAGACTCATTCATCTAAAAGATACAAAGTATATATTCTTACTTTCTCATTGAAGCTTCCTTAAAACGAATCACATTATAAACCACAAAATAATCCTTAACAAACATAAAAGAACACTCCCACCCCCACACTCCCACCCCATCCCACCCTACCCCCACCCCCAGTATTTGGAGACAAAGTCTCTCTGTGTAGTTCTGGCTGTTCTGGTACTCACTCAGTAGACCAGGCTGGCCTCAAACACACAGAGATCCTCCTGCCTCTGCTTCCCTAGTGCTAGGATTAAAGATGTACACCACCACCACCTGTCTAACAAACACAAAAGAACCTTTAAAAATCTCTTGTTTTTCATTATACCATAGTGGAATAGAACTAAAAATTAACAGATACTACACAAATTCTAGGAAAGTGAGCAATTTACTTCTGAATGAACTATGAGTCATTGAAGAAGCAAGGGCAGAAATTTATAATTCCTA